GATGGTAGTTCACATCTTCTAGTATTCTCTTGGCTGTGTGGTACATACGACGTTTATTGCTAAACGTTTTCAATTAAGCGAATAATGCGTAATAATTATAACACAACTGTTTCGCCATTTATTAGTTCAGCGACACGGTGAAAGTGAAATTAAAAAAAAAAAAAAAAAAAAGAAAGAAAGAAAAAATAATTATGTAGAAAATTCCAATTGAAATAATATTGAATGCTCGACATTGTTTTGTCGAATAAATAATCGTTTATCGATCGATTTTTCGTAGATCGAAACGGACTCGCTTGAGATCATTAGACTAAATTTAGCTATAAATTCTCGATTAGAACAAAAAATATGTTTCTTTGGAAACAATCGCTTCCGTTTCTTTCTTCGGAAGAGAAGAATAAAAAAAAAAAAACACGAATTTGATCGGTATAAAAGATTAAGAAGTTTTTTTAAAAAGACGAATAGAAAATAATCGAAAAAATACCGTGTCTGCGATGTAAATAAATTTATTCTTAAGGAATTAAACAGAAGCGACGATTCGTGAAAAGTGTATACTTATTATTATTATTGTCATCATCATCGTTTGTCATGCATTTGTATTTCATATGCATGCCACGAAGCCTGCGTATTGTGGATACACGCTCGATCTGGAAGTCTTTGGTCATGAGAAAATTTCTTTATTCAAAAATATAATTATATAATTATATTTAAAGAAATAAAATAATAATAAAAAAAAGAATAAATAAATTACGAATTTTGAAAAGTTAATTTCAAAATAAAATAAATGTTAACATTGTACGGTTTTCTTTAAGTCAGTTCGCTCTGTAATTAATGAGTGGTTTATATATTTTTTTAATTATGAGTGCAATTGTTATTTCATAATGAACATTCATCTTGAATATATATATTTATATATATTCTTTCTTTCTTCTTTTCTAAGAAAAATTTTTAAAAAATATGAAAAATCTTTGTGTTCTCTCTCATGACTGATGATTTTCAAGATCTGAGTTAAGCTTGCCTAGTTTTAGGCGGCGTTAAAATGTTATCCTTAATAAAGAGAGAAGCAAAAGAATGACTAAAAGAACTATCTATATGTCTTTATTATTTTACCTTTTTACTTTTATCTTTTACTATAGTCTTTATTAGCATTAAGTTATCGAAACTTTCTTTTTTTTGTATTTTTCAATATAAAAATTAATGAAGGAAAGTATTATAAAAATTGATTTTTGTCTTTTTTCCTTTAAATAAAGATTCCTTTCAGTAGCAATTCAAAAACAATTAATATATTTTGATATTAGAAACGGAAAATATTACAATATTTAATTTATTGAATTTTTATTGCAAATAAGATATAAATTAATTAATAACAAATGATAATTTAATAGAATTTATTTTTAAAAAAAATTTATTTTTATGATTATAAATCGAAAAAAATAGTTATATTATAATATTTAAATATTAATTTAAAAAAAAAAGAATAGGTTAATGTTTATTCGAAATTCAAAAGTACGCATGCGCATTTTTTCTAAGATTAAATAGATCTATTGCAGATATATATATCGTACAGTGTGTAGCTCCTTGTAATAGATTTTAACTGTGTGTTGGCTGTTTATGATTAAAAATAGTTAAATAAATAGTTAAAACATATAATTAAATATTGCATTAAGCTATAATTTAAAAGATATAAAACAACGTATCTATAAATTTCGACAAAGGGATTTCAACTTTGATTTCAACAAACGTGTCGACAAACGTGATTGCTTTCTTTTTTAACTTTAAGTGTTTGACATTTCTGTTAAAAAGAAGCAGGTATTTTATTTTTTAAGTTTTTAGGAATATACAGAATGTTCACACTATTAATTTCTAGTATTTTTTTTCGCGAGTGCTAGATTTTACAAAAAAATAATAGAAAAGATAAAAATTTTTCTGTTTTTTATACGTAATACAATGATCAAATTTTTAAAATTTACAATAATAATCATGAAACAATAATGTATTTCTTTTTTTCTACTAAATGAATTCGACAATCTATAATACGATATAGTATGATCTGTGATTCTTCGATTGAATTTTTATAATGAATAAAATTTTTGATGTTTCGCAAATTTTCGATTTTAATCATTGATCTCAATCTATTAAAAACAGATGATATCATAATGATTTTCATAAAGTTAATCCGCATTGATGAAACATATAAAAAAAAAGTTATTTCGTGAATTTTTACATCACTGGCTATCTTTTTTTCTTTAATTATATGGTAATGATTATTTTTTTTTTCAAAATCTTTTAAAATATTAATTGTTTTATTAATTTCAATTATTTTAATTAATTGAATAATTTTATAATTTTGATTAATGATTTAAAAATAGCCCAATAATTTATAATCTAAAATTTATAAATTTACTTTTTTTTTAGATAAATATATTTATAATTTATTCAATTTGTTTATATATATTTTTTCAGAAATGAGTCATATTAGAAATTTACGTTGTACTATGTCTTGCTTAAACATTTGTAATTTGAAATCTTTTGAAAGACATATATTAATTAAAAATAAATATAGAGATGTTCATCATTCGTAAGTAATATGCTACTTTACATAAAAAAAAAATATATATATATATAAAAATTTATATGTTAAAAATTTCACATCTATATGAGAATTAATGTTAATGAAAAATATCTTAGGTGTAAACTGTTAGTAGTTGGAGGTGGTACTGGAGGTTGTAGCATGGCTGCAAAATTTGTTAATAAATTTAAAGGCCAAAATCAAATTATTATAATAGAACCAAATGAGGTATTTAATTAATTTTTTTTTTAATTATTATATATTTTTTTGTTATGTATATTTGTATTAAGTAGAATAATATTTTTTTTAGATACATTATTATCAACCAATGTTTACTTTGATTGGTGGTGGCATAAGATCTTTTGAAGATTCAAAAAAACCAATGAAAGATACTTTACCAAAAAATGCAAAATGGTTTCAAGATAATGTAATGAGTTTTGAACCTACACAAAATCAAGTGACTATGAGCAATGGAGACACTGTACAGTATGAAATCATGATTGTTGCAATGGGTTTACAATTATATTGGGAAAAAGTGAGATTGGACAAATTATTTTATATTAAGATGAATAAAAATGCATTTTTTATTTTATATATATGTATAGATACCAGGTTTAGTAGAAAGTCTTAAAAATAACATGTCAAGAGTTTGTTCAATTTATGGACCTGATACTGTTACAAATGTGTTTCCAAAAATTACAAAAATTAAGGATGGTACTGCAATATTTACCTTTCCAAATAGTCCTGTTAAGTGTCCTGGAGCACCTCAAAAAATTGCATATATTGCAGAAGAATATTTTCGAAAAGTAAATATAATTATGTTTAGATTATTTTAAATTTTCTTAGTGGATTAGTGGTATTATTATATAATTTTATTATTATATTTATTATTATATAATTTTCTTAGTAGTATATTATATTGTATGTATATTATATTCATATTTATTTTTTAAAGCAAAATGTACGTGATAATGTAAAAGTTGTATATAACACTGCTTTACCAGTTATATTTGGAGTTAAAAAATATGCTGATGCACTTTGGGATGTTTGTAAAAAAAGAAATATTACTGTGAATGTTCAAACAAACCTTGTAAAAATAAATCCTGTAACTGAAGAAGCTGTATTTCAAAAATTAGATGGATCAAATGAAACATTTGTCGAAAAGGTATGTTTTATTATTTGCAAAATGCATATATATATCATAAATAAACAAGTTATAATCCATGATATATTTTTGTTTAGTATTCATTACTTCATGTATGCCCACCAATGGGTCCACCTGATGTTTTGAAAAAACATCCTTCGTTAACGAATGAAGTAGGATTTTTGTCAGTAGATCCTAAAACTTTGCGTCACACGAAGTATTTGAATATATATGGAATCGGAGATTGCATTAGCGCTCCAAATTCTAAAACGATGGCAGCAATAGGTATAATATAATTTTTTAATAATTATGAAAGATTATTTAAAATTTTTTCTATTTATAGCGGCTCAAGGAAAAGTATTATATAAAAATATTATGGATGATTTAGCTGGTAAACCAATGACTATGATTTATAATGGTTATTCATCGTGTCCTTTAGTTACTGGTTATAAAAAGTGCATATTAGCAGAATTTGATTATAATTTACAACCATTAGAAACTTTTCCAGTAAATCAAGGCCGAGAATATTTTTTCACATTTATACTTAAGGTTTATATATTTCCGCTTTTATATTGGACTTTAATGACTCGGTAAATTTATTATAAATATTTAAATTTTTATAAAAATGAATTCATGATTCTTATACAAAAGGGCGAATATAATTTTCTAATATTATTATAATTTATAGTGGCAAATGGGATGGACCTGAATTTCTTCGAAAATATTCAGATGCAATAAAAAGAAAAGAAGTCAAAAATTAAAATAATTTTTAATGAAATGAATGTCTTTTGAAATACGATTTAGTTGTATATAATATTTAAAAATCTACTAATTAATAATTTATTTATTAATAAATTTATATGTATTAAAATAAATATATATATTTGAAAGATAAAACAAAAAAATATCTATTTTTCCTTCTATAATTATTGCAAAATAATTATTATTTTAATCATTCATTTTGTAATATTATTAATTAAAATATAATTAAATACTTTATATTTTATTTTATAAATGATATATCAAATTTATTACAATATTGTTTCTTTATTAATGAATATTTAATTATTAATTTTATAATTTAAATAATTTATATTTCATTAATTTGAACATAATTAATGAAATAATTCTTTAGAAATTAAAAATCATATTATAACTATTTCGATATATCAAACAATCGAATTAGTCGATTAGAAAATCCAATTCATGTAGTTGTCTGGATATTGACACGTCAAGTTTGATGTAAACATGGATGGTCAGTTATTGGTAGGTTTTTAATGTGCATTTTACGTTTTTTTTTTTACATAAATTGCATAGCAAAGTCCACTTCTTAATAATATATTCTTGATGTAAGTATTGTCTCGTGCAATCGTAATCATGAATCGTGCTGGATCATCGAAAGTCGTGCAACATAACCTCTCTTCAATGCTTCAGAGTGACCAGGATCGCGATTTTCGGCAACGCGTATGATTTCTATTGATTTTAAGTTTATTTTCCATATCTGTTCCCATTTCTTATTGTTATTTACAGACAATGATTAAATGAAAGTTTTCCTAACCTCTTTTAATTCATTGTAGCATGCGTGATTATTAACAAAATTTTGAGTGCAACATGGGTGCATACATGGGAAAGATTTTTTTATGAGTTTTGTTTTAATGTAAAATATTTATATTTATAGGAACCAACGCTTTATACTGTCAAAGGTATGGCCATTCTGGACAACGATGGCAATAGAATATTAGCTAAATATTATGATAAAAATATATTTCCTACATCAAAAGAGCAAAAGACATTTGAAAAAAATCTTTTCAACAAAACACACAGAGCAAATGCAGAAATTATTATGCTGGATGGTTTAACATGTGTTTATAGGAGTAATGTAGACTTATATTTTTATGTTATGGGAAGTTCTCATGAAAATGAGGTATATATTATTTATATTAATGATAAAATATATTTCTATTTAAATAATTTCTAATTTTTATTTTAGTTGATTTTAATGAGTGTATTAAATTGTTTATATGATTCAGTAAGTCAAATTTTAAGAAAAAATGTCGAAAAGAAAGCTGTTTTAGATAGCTTAGATATAGTCATGTTAGCAATGGATGAAATTTGTGATGGAGGGTAAATAAAAATGTATATATATTGAAGTAAAATATTAACATTAATAAAAACAACATTACAATTATGTAATCTTTTTTAGAATAATTCTTGATGCTGATGCCACAAGTGTAGTTCAAAGGGTGGCATTAAGAACTGATGACATTCCACTTGGAGAACAAACAGTCGCACAGGTAATATTTAGTATTAGGTATAGTATATTTATTGATTTAATGGCATAGCAAAGTTTATGTCCATTTATACCACATAGAAACATTTTCGATTTTTTTACTTTGTGTTCATGCATCATTCTACATTCTTCGCACAGTCTCTGATTGTAAGTTTTTGTGATTCTAGAAGGCAGAATTATCAACACTTTTTTATAAAATTTTCATTTGTGTCATTAAATATTCTGTTTTTGTTCTAGGTTTTGCAATCTGCAAAGGAACAACTCAAGTGGTCATTACTAAAATAAGATTTATGTATTAAAAATCGTATGAAATATTCAATTGTATGAAATATTATTTTAAAATATAAAAAAGTAAAAAATTGCTTATTATGTGTTCTGAAAGTTTTGTATAAATTTTATAAATTTAATATTTCTAAATAATAAATATTATTTAATTTTAATTTTTTTTATAAAATTATTTAGTTATATTATTTTTTGTTTGTTTAATTTTATATCTAGAATATTTCATTTATTTCGAATATTATTAAGAAATGCTTTGAATTGATCAAAGAAATTATATTATGATATTAATTTTTTTCATATGTAGATACATAAAAAATTTTATTTTTTTAAATAGAATTATATATATTTTTGTATAAATCGATTTCATTTCTATAAATTTTATTTTCCATAAAAAAATATTTAAGCATGTAAATTGAAAAATTATTATTAATTTGAAATATTTATTTATAATAATTAAATATCTCTGAAATTATTGATTTTTTGCTACAAATGATTTAATATTTTTTTTTATAAAGAATATATGCTATATCTATAATTTCATTAAAAACAAATTATGTTTAAAAAATATGTAAATAAATTATAAAATCAACGCTATCTACAATGTCATAGATGAAATTAATATAAATAAAAAAAACAAATATATAAGAATTGACTATTAACGCCATCTTTCGAATGTCAAAGACATCTTTCTAAAAGTTTTTTTAAAACCTCAAAAGATGGTGCTGATTCTTATTTCTTATTCTATTTTATCCTGCTAAAAAAATATTTTTGGTATTCAAAAGATGGCGTTATTTTTTATTCTATATTATTATATGTTCTTTATTTATATTATATTAATTTTGTATAATAATCTAAAGATAACGCTGATTATCCAATTCATTTCTTATTTCTGTCTTTCTTTCATTATTTCTTCTTGTTTATATTTGGCATATATCCTGATATTAATATGACGGAAATATTTTAATGTTGAAACATTTAACAATAGTGAAATTTAAAGAAAATTTGATTCAATAAAAAAAAATAGAAAGGAATTTTGAGGAATCATTTTATCAATAAACAATTTTTTTTTGATTGAAAATTTGTTTGTTTTGAATCTATTGTTTCGCTATTTGTAATCTTCTAAAGTATTTCTAAAACATGCAGTAAATTATTTAAACATTAACCGTTATTAATAGTGAGTGATTAAATGAAACGAAACATTGATATAATATCATAGTTTTAATGAAAGATTATAAATAAAATATTAATTCACAAATTATTTTTTCAAGATATATATGTATATATGTATATATAATTATCATTATATTCTTGTTCTTCCATTCAATTTTTTAAAATAACAAGAAAAATAAGTAAAATTTAACTGAGACAAATATTCGATCAATTTTGAAAATATATTTTTTCTGATCATTAAGAAAATAAACTTTTCTGTAATTTTCGAAGTTTTGAAGAAGTAAGAGTTGTTTCAACTCTTTTTAGGAAACAAAGGGATATGATAATTTTTTTGTTCTCAATCCCGAGGGAAATCTGAGGTCGAGCTATAGTGGAAGAAGGGCTAAAGGTGTGCAGATAACTGCACGTAGAGAGCACAGGACAGTGGTCGCTTATTTGAAGTCAGGTGACAAGCTAGTAGCCCGATTCGATTGTGTCCGTTGGTTACTCTTTCATTGGGTTCCTCCGCGCTGGGAATTTTAGATTTGATTACAATACACGTCGTACTATCCTCCTACCATTGGCATCTCCACCTCTGCTACAATCGCACTTTTGCCCTTGTTGCTAGCGATGGGATCAACATCCTCTTGTCCTAAGCTTTCACTTTTTATATTCATATGAAAAAAAAATTCATCGATCTTTAATTTTTACTCATTTTAATTTTATTTCTAATGTGCAAATATTATAAATTATAGGTTTTATCTTTATCTTTTTACTTCTTTATATAGGCATTGGTATGATGTCAAATTTAATTTTAAAATTATAAGTAAAATTGTAAGCTTTGCTAGACAAATCTTCAAATATTATTCATAAATATATATGTAATCAAAAATTTATTATCATTTTCATTTATGTTTAAATAATTTATCTTTAAACTGTATTATATTTATTAATTAATCTACTACTATAATATTTATAATTTACCTATAAATCACTAATCTGCCAATTATTATTAATAAGTGATAAGTTATAAATTTTTCTTGTATAAACAATTTTTACAATTTTACAATTTCATATAACACAAACTTAAATACTTTCAATTTCTAAGATTTACTTATGAAATTTCATTTTCAAATTTCAAATTTCAATTTCAATTTCAGTTTCAAATTTCTTTATTGTTATAATGAAAAAAGATTTTTTTTCCATTTGAAATTTGTAAAATTTTACCAATAATATTAATACTATTAAGAAGATGCTTGGATTGTTTGAAATGAAACGAAACAAGGAAGGAATCGAGTCGGTTCCATCCATCGCTACTTCCACTCGTGTCCGCCACCCCTTTCTGACTGCACCGATGAAAAACTCTTGTTGCTCGATCGCGACGGAATTATTGGCCGACCGTGCTTATTTATGGCGTTCATTTTCCTGGAGATTGCAGGAGAGAACGACCACTCTCTCTCTCGCTCTGGCGTGATTTTTTTGCGGCAGGATGTCGATCCACGATTTATTGTATGTCAGCTGAGAGGTGAACGGGACGTTGATAACGACGACACTTTGACGTGGAGAGTCGTGTGCCGGTCTCGCGATCAAATTAATTCTACAACTTTTCCACTTTTCATGAAAAGAAATATTTATCGAAATACTTTTGATTCAACGTTGCTTCTTTGATTTAACGATAATGATTTATCCTTTGATGGTAAAATAGAAAAATTTATAATGGATTCACTTTATTTATTTTATTGTGGTATATATAATAGCATTTTCAAAGTGTAGGTTTAATATGTAATATTATTTTTATTTCTGTCTTTTAGAAATGGAGAACTGAAAATAGTAATGGTGTAATTTACACAAATTATTTTGAGAAGTTTATAAATTGATATTTAAGAAAAATTTCATATTCATATTGTACTTGATTATAAAGTAATTTAAAATAACGTGAAATTATAGCATAGTTTCATTTTTTAACGATTATACGAGCTTATACTTTTATATAATTCTTAGCCTCTCAAATTTTATATATCGATGATATTTAGTATTTCATACTATAAATAGTTAAATTTTCTTTATCAAAACTCTATTTTATTCTATGAAATTCAAAATTTGTATAAAGGCAATATATGATATAAATCCTCATGGTATTCTTATGGGAATATATAACGTCAAGAGAAGACGAGAGAAACATAAAAGCCATTAATCATGTTTCAATGACTCCGTATCCGATAGATGAAGTTACTGCATTATACATGATCATCGCTTTAAATGGGATTAGATGAGGATTTATAGAATTTACTGACATATGCCACTAGTATTATATCGTATTATTGTTATTGAAAAATAATATTGCAATTATATTTACAAAAAACATTGAAATAAAAAAAAAACTAAAAGTAAAAAGTGATATGAAATAAACATAAAATGATATAAAATATCAGAAAATCTTAAAATAAAGAATATCAAGGAGAAATATTTTGTATAAATATGATGTAAATATGATATAAATAATGATACTGTTGTAATATCTTTAAAAAAATATCAATAACGAAAAATATAGAATTTTATAATTCTAATAATAAATGATAATGGATAACGTCAAATTGATAAATTGATCGACATAAGTTGTTCATTCTCATTGTCATCTCGTGACATCATTTATATTCTTTACATATGGTAACAATCCTGTTTATTATTTTGCGGGGATCTTGCACTTGTCAAAAGAGTAATCCATACCTGCTGTTGTCTGGAAAACAAGGGTGTGGAAAGGGTTAAGTTAATAAAATTAATGTAGCGTAAAACCTGGATTTTATTGTCCATGACGATTCACACTCTAGAAAAGTTATTATTACTACCATTAATTTTTATTATTATGATATATTGAATTACAAGTAAAACTACATGAATGAATAAACTTGATTGAAAAAAATAATTACATAAATTATTGTAATTTAATTATCTAATCTCAAATTTCATTCAATAATAACTATTTTTTAAATCAGTTTCGATTACTCAAAATTTACTATTTATTTCATTTTAGAAATCAATACTGGAAATTTTTCAAATTTATTTTAAAAAGAAATTTTATAACTTTTTATAATATATTATAATATATATTAAATTTTATAATTATATATATTATTATAACTTATTTATTATTTTATGCAATTTGTGCAAAAATATTTTAGTACAACATTCTAATTTTACTAACTTACTAACTTTATTTATTAATTTACTAACTTTATTTATATTAAAAAAAAAAAAAGAAAATCAAGAATACAAAAAAGACAAAAGTGTAACATTTTGCATTTTACATAGAAAATAAAATACTAGATATTCATCATATACAATCCTTACACATCCTCCAACATTTACCAACATTTTTATCCCAGAACGTATATCGTGAAGCATCGTTGACAAGGATTGCAATAAAAACGAAAGGGTGCGATGGTAAAAGTTGGAACAAAGGGGATTACGCTGTCGAGAAGGCAAGTGGATTCATGAAGGGATTACCAGACAAATATTTATGTAACCCCGGTGGGACGTTGGATCATCAAATTGCAATGACAAAACGAGCACAGCCACCGATGGTGACAACACCCTTATACAGCACATTGGGGAGTGTTATACCCACATATGCTACACCATTTGCGAGTTTTATGCGAGCCGGAGATTCCAAATTGCCGTTTACCCATGGATGACAAGCGGAAACGATACGGTTGTAAGTGAAACGTGATTAAAACCGATCGAAATTATCCCTCGTCTGTGGAATTTAATCATTTCACGAATAGGATTCGATATGGTTTTGGTGATTGCTTGAATGAACGATATTGAAACTCTCTCGTTCGTAAAGTTTGTGTTCGTTATAATGAAATTGATTTGGTTATATATAAATAAATTTTAAACAAGAGACAAGTACTTAGTATTTAACGTAGAAAAA